CTTCAAAAAATATATTTACACAATGGCACTAAAGTTTAAATTTTTCCGATTCTTCAAACATGTCTTCATTTCATGAACAAATATCCTTGGATTTCAATTCGCACTGAAAAATTACGAGTAAAATTTATAATACATATTGAACATGTATTTCTTTTAGGCAAACACAAATATTTTGGTAAGGCTCAGAACGAAATCTTATGTATCCCATCTCATTGTTGCATGGTGGATTTTAAAATTTTAAATCCAACCACTACATTACAAAGGTAGACTCAGCAATCTGAAATGTAAAACTTTATAGTAGTGGGTCACTTTCGTTATTGAACACATAAAATACCTTCAGGACAAGGGTCTCCGTGTCTACATGAGACCTACAGAATTTGTTTTGAAATCCTTGCAATCTTCGATTTTTAGATTCTGCGAAATCCAGAATGTGGGCCCCAAACTTTTAGTCTACAATGTATATACTGAAATAACATCTTAGATTTTTTTTTCTCTATCTAATTATAGATCTTCGGATACTCCCAATTTAAAAGTACACCTCGTATCGAAATCTAAAATGACCTATTCGACATATTATTTATTAAGTAGTAATCGGTTAATTACCTAATTTTTTTAAATTAGAGGTAACGTTTATTCTCGTTTACAAAAAATGCGCAACTATTTTGATACTTTCCGAAATCCAAAATAAGATTCAAGTGGACTTTATTAAATTTTTCTTACTAAAAATGTTTTATATGCCCACCTACTACTATTCAAATTAGTACTTTGTAATTTGAAATGGAAATCACTCTCGACAAACCATTTTTTACAAAAATACGTCAATGAAACCAAACGAAATCTATAATACATATTCTATTCTAAAAGTCTTGTTGGCATTAAGTAACCCATTGAGGTTGATATACCGTAAAACAAAATAAACCCAAATCTTTGTAGCAGAGGAATCTTCTGGGTTAATGCTGAAAATGAATTGAGAAAAAACATGGAACAGACAACAGGATATCAAGACATTATTCCCTTTGTGAGTTTGTAATAGATTTACAGATGTTTTATACGGTGCTAAATTTTGATGTGACAAAGCAGTTTTAGTATTTGTTCCAGTTATGTATCTTTTGTTTTACTTTATTTTTTTTCTTAGGATTTTGAGACTGTAGTCAAGTTCCCACGTCGGGTTTGGGGAATCAAAAGTCCCAGTGGCTAAGTGAACACTAATTTTAGGATTACAGATTTGGGCAGTAAGAAAATAGAAAGGTTTTGTATTTTTACCTGTGATGAAATACCATCACTTAGAGACCAAAATGAATAGCGTCCTGGGTATGACGATAAACTACGTCCAACAGCAAGGCCTCAGATAATGTTTTCAGAAAAATAATGTTGCCAGCTATACCTTTAATAGTACTGTATAATTAATGTATAGGTGTTATATATATATTAATTTGGCATTAAATGACCCACAGTGGTTGATATGCCATAAAACCCAACCAACCAAAATGAATAATAAATGTACAATTTCAAAATTTTAATACTTAACATTTTTGAACGTTAAATTTTGGTAACCACTTACATTCCTGCAAATGGTTCGCCATTCTCGATGGAATGGATTTCGTAAACTACATCTATTGGATACTTTGGTACACATCAGTGACGTTTCTATCGGAGGTTCATTAGGGGTTTCGGGTCTTTCAACATCATACTCCGTCTCTGCGGTGACAACGAAGCTTTTACATTTTGCCAAATACTGTACCAAGTTGGTGTACTTTATCTGATCCAATGGATTTACTCCTTAGTTTCTAGATCTCACAATTAAATTTTCTATATTTCAGTTTACAAACTTACTTTGTTTACATTCACGCACACACACTGTTTTAAAAACAAGGAATGCATTGATTTTAATTTTAAAAGTCTCTAGGGCCCTTTCAGCCAACATCTCATCAGGAGACAATCGTTGGATTAGCGAAAAGAATATAAACGATATTGAAGAGCAAAAGAGGGGGAAACACACTAAAATAACAAACAATATATATATACTTGTAACGAGGGGAAGGGAAAAGAATCGTGTAAATAAATTAGCGAGGGACAGTTAAAATAAAATATCCCCCAACAGATTCAGAGACTTTATAAATTCTTTCTAACGGCAGAGGTTATCTTAATCCTATACAGACCGATTCCAAAATCTTCAAATGATTTTTGGAATCGGCTGTATGAATAATTTTAAACCACTCTTTTTTTAAACAACTTGGCGCAAGCTATATTCTCAACTAAATGTTGAGCAATAGCCGATTCCATATTCATGGGGGGAAGATAGCATATTCTATCTTACCAAGTATTTTCGAAGGTACGTGCTGATTGATTCTAGTTTCCAAGAAATATATATATAAAATTTTGATGCCACACAACTTGTAAGTTGTTTTGAACAATTTTTTTTTTTAAACTTTTCGACCAACACCATCAGGAATACTTTGCAACCTAAATAGAATTTTAACGAAATTAGTGACAAACCGCCTACGAGGGACTCTAAAATAAGATTTATTAAAATGGGAGAATTTTTTTTTTTTTTTTTTTTAGTCAAATCTCAAGTGGACATTGACCGACCACTTTCATGCCATCATCAGATGGTCACTAGCTGTAACTTGTGAAAATAGGAACTCTTATCACAGGCAAAAAAAAAAAAACCTTTCTATTCATATGGATGGAGATATATAATTTGAGACGAGGTATTATGTACCGAATTTACATTATTCGGACTATTGTCCTCATCTTTGTCGACATATTACAACATTTTGGCCGTTGTACGCTCCGGTCTTCATGTAGTTGGAATGTCAAACTGAACCCTTTATTTCGCTCACTGGGGTATGAATTTCTGGGTATTATAAACCTAATATGATAATACCCAGAAATTCATACACAGATGTCCGACTGAGTCAAGCGAATACTGTCGCTGGTAATTTCAAACTCTGAAATATCTACACGCAGGCTGTCATCTTTATTACATTTTAGCCGTAATGCTCTCCGGCTGTCATCAGGTGCTTGTCGATCCGTATAACCTTCGAGCTGTACTCTTAATCTATTTGTTCTCATGCCTCTGACAATACCTATGAATGTTTTGCCTAATTATTTAGCACAATTATTGCTCCCCTCTTTCCAAGGATTCATCTCGGTTACTCAACAAATATACGCACCAATCTATTGTACCGTGGGACGATTTTGAGTGCAGAACGTAGAGCTTTAAACTTATTCTGTTAGCCGATGAAGCTACTGCTTCTCACGCTTGATTTCATTCATTGAAGCTTCCTTTCTATTTCTACATCGGCACATTAGCCGTAGAAGTAGCGATAGGCTTGCACAGTTGCGTCTGGAGAGAGGCCAAGTCATTGTCTCTCTTATCTGTTTACAATTTAGCGTACTAAATTATGTCCAACAGCAAAGCCTCTGATCAGGTTTTTGAGGAGCGCAGAACCACCTCTTAATTGCTTGTGTTCACAGGTCCACCCCGACCCGGGGCGGTAGCACCTGTTAGATCCTAGCTATGGGTAAATTGTTAACCCTTAAACTGGGGTCAAAACGCTATGAAAGTAAAAAAAAAAAAAAAAAAAAATAGGTTTTAATACCAGAAATACTATTTGTAAAAAAATTATTACAAGCAAGACTTTTTTTTTTTTTTTTTTTTTTTTTTTTGGAAAATATATATAATTACAGCAATCAATTGTCGGCATTAAATAACCCCTTGAGGTTGTTATGCCGTCAGACAAACTAAACCATAACTATATAGACCGAATATACATACTTCGTTATAATTAAGGTTTTTGTTAAACAATTATATAATCATGATACGAATGCATTAATAGAACGTTCAACAAAGAATTTTCTTTATACAGTGTAACCCGGATATAAGATTTTCTCTGGTCCCAAAGTGTTCCCATACTTAACCTAAACAAAATACAGTGTAACCCGGATATAAGTTGTCGGGACCGGAGAAGTCTCTTATATCCGGGTTTGGTCTATTTTGTTTAGGTAAGTATGGGAACACTTTGGGACCAGAGAATCTTATATCCGGGTTACACTAGACCAAACCCGGATATAAGACTTCTCCGGTCCCGACAACTCTCTTATATCCGGGTTACACTGTAGTAATTTCTGTAAAAGTCACACGAGACTAGTCATTAAAACGGGTTCGGTCTAAAATAGAAACTACTCACAGATTGCGCTTAAGTTTGGTAATTCCCAGGAGAAAATAATATACAAAAATTATTTTTAAATATTGCAAACAAAAATGTATAACTTTTCTCTTTTAACACTTATTTTATTACGGCACTTTTAATATTTTCAAAATACAGAAACAATTTCCAGTTATCGGAAAGAAATGGAATAACAATGCTGTGCATTTTCATATATAATTTCATTTAAAGATTTTAAATACACAAATAAGCTTTTCTTGTCCCGTAAGCCTTGCCTACTTTCCAATCTCCAAAAAAAAAAGAAAATTGATTTCATTCTTTTAACGAAACCAAAACATTTGGAGACATTTCATTTAAATCGTTCATCTTTGGCCAACCAAGCACTTAATTTTACAGATCAACAAAAATAGTTTTAACATCAATCTATTTGTGTCCTTGATAGAAATTTAAAGATGTCTTTTGTATCTTTATGTAAACAATCTCGATATAATTTTCTCCATATAATTTTTCTCTATATATAAATTTACAGACGTTCATTGTGGCTTTTTATATTTATTTTTTTTTTTGTAAGCCTTTCAATTTTATCTGCACGGAAACAGAAAGGAGATCAGTTTTTTTTCTTTTTTTTACCTGAGTTAAAATATTTATACATTTTAAAGACTTTGTGCAATGTAAAGTTTAACCCAGGCTTCTAAGTTGCTTCTTTTTAAATCAGTTCCGTGAATGTTAGATTCACATTAAGAAAATAAATCATTTAAATGGGTCAAACTAAAGTCCACAATTTTTGCATCGAGTGATGTCTTTTTTTTTTTTTTTTTTCTCTAATTTTTAAACTAAAGTTTCTTGTTCGTGTTTATCATCACTATTTTCTGTAGTTAGCATTTCCCATTGTCTCCAACGTTCTCTTTGCCAAACTGCAGATCTAATCAAATGTGTGTCTGTAGCAGTACGACGCTGCGGCTGTCCATGCTGTAAGGGCGTTGCGCCACTTGAGGTTCCGCTGACTGCAATTGTCGTTGACGAAGATGATGGTGATACTTTAAGACGGTCCACCGGTGATGTTTCCCTGGAGCGAGTCAGTTGTCGTGTGCGTCCAGTCTGTGACAGTTCTCTTTCAGAGCGAGATCCTTTATCTACCGGGGTATTCTGTCGGCTACACGTACTACCGAGAGGTCTAGAGAAGGGTACCACAGGCGACACCGGAGGCGAAGATGGAGGTGACGAACTAAGACCAGGGCAGCTGTTCTGTCTCAGATAATGAGATTGCTGTGGAATGGTCAATGTTGTAGTCTGCATGGTCCGGTTATCTTTGTCCGACGACAGGGAGCGCTGCGGTAGACGAACGCATGGTACCCGTAACCCCCCTGTTGTAGGGGATGAGGTTGTCGGCATTTGGGCAGACGATTGCTTCCCGCGTTGCCGCAGAATCCTTCTTGCCTGTCGGTCATGGTAGTCGGACAGTCCTTGCCTGGGATCGGTGTCGTCTCTATCCGAATCCGACGTTGGGTAATGAGTCGGTGAAGACGTGGATGCAGTCTGCCGGAGGATAGGTCTGTTACTTCCGACGGACACGTGACTACTTTGTAGAATGTCTGAGGCTGATGCGTAGTGGTGGGGACTTTGGCGATAGTTGCTATCGTCAAACACGCTACCGTACGAAGTGTCCAAGTCGGTTTCGATCCTGGAAATACAAATTAGAAAGGCGTTTAACATTGGAAGTATGTAAGATTAGTAACAGACCGGGCAGGTAATAGACAAATTAATTCAGTAGGTTTTCAGCATGGTAATACATGGGACTGCAAAAATAGATATACAGTAACTATTATACTAGTATTTAATACAATAATTCATTTAAATCATTAATTTTATCATACATTTATAATCTCCATTTAACCTTTAGCAAGTAAAGTGTTTGAATAACAATAGCCAAACAGTAAACACTTGAGGGGACTATGTTTATGGAAGGGTGCAGTTTACACTTTACCCACTGCGACGCGGAGGAGTCCGAACTTTTATTGTCGATAACTCCAAAACGGTAGATTTTATTAATTTATTTTCGAATTAAGAATGTACATTTAAATCTAAATGGAACCATACAGGAAATTTTTATTAGAAACTGTGCGAGGAGCTTGAAATAAAAATTACTCTTGAGGTTCCGAGTTGAAATTAATTCTGTCACCCGTTTATGGATATTTGTATAAGCAATACAATACGTTATTGCGAGAGGGTTTTCTTTAGATTACTGTATTTACTTTTTCATCCCGCCGTACATTGTAAAATAGCGCGACTTATTCCTTCAAATTTACAGAAAATTTGACGCAAAGCCAAAAAGGATATAATATTCCTTGCATCAAAACACATTCTTGCTTCAGCCACCATAATACCTCAATTTTTCTATGAAATCCTAACAAATTCCAATATGTACAATTTGTTCGTGGGGAGCTGAATAAAATAACTTAATTATAACCCAATGTTTATTTACAGGGAATATACTTTCATTTACAAGAAACAAAATAGGGTAAGTGATACCACCCACCAATCCTTGATTGTGGCAGAAAAAAGAATCCCGCATTAATTCCGTCTGGTTACTTAAGTAATTAAGAACAATCATCTGTCCTGGGTATGACGATAAACTACATCCGACAGCAAGGCCCCTGATCAGGAGGTTTTGAGCGAGGAACCACTTCTTAGTTGGTGGTTTCCAGGTCCACCTGGGTTCGTAGTACCTGTTAGGGTCCTAGCTATAGGCAAATAGTTAACACCCAAGCTTGTGTAAAATAGGTTTTAATACCAGTAAAAATTATCAGTAGTACGCTAAAAAAAAAAAAAAAAAAAAAAGCTATAGATTTCAAGGAAAAATATTCCCAGAAGTAGATTTTTGAAGAAAAACATTACCAGCAATAAAAAAATTATCGGCATTAAATAACCCATTGAGGTGTTGATATGCCACAAAACAAACCCAACCAAACTCTAGTCAAAACACTATGAAATTGTAAAAATAGGCTTTAATACCAGACATATCAGCTATACATTTTGAAAAAAAATATTGCCAGCAATAAAACTTGTCGGCATTAAATAACCCATTAAGATTTTATGCTGTAAAAGAAGCTAAACTAAGAACAATCATTCGGCCAAACAATTCCCTCAAACGCGTCCTGGATAAGACGATAAACTACATCTGACAGCAAGTTCTTTGATCAGAAGGAATTGCTGGTGTTCCTAGGACCACCCTGACCCGTGGTGGTAGCAAATAGTTAACCCCCCCCCCTCAAAGGGTCAAACTCTATGAAAATATAAAAATGGGTAATACTTTTTGAAAATTTACTAGCAATATTTTTTTTTTTTTTTTTTTTTTGAAAAAAATATTACCAGCAATAAATTAACCCATTGAAGATATCCTGTAAACCACCCACTCGCTCTTATCCAGTCTCCAGTCACTTAACAAGTGAAGGGAAGGAAATTAAACTAAAATAAATGGGACAAGAATAAGAGCGGCCAATGAATATATAAACTACCTTATTTTTAGGCAGGTTTGCCAATGTTTAACTCGTATAGGGATTTTCTAAGCGTAGCTCGCATGTAGCACAAGTAAGGATCGACCTGGCTTTTCAGTGTCAGTTGACCTAGCGAGCTACCTAACTTTCACCCCTGTACATTGTGGTAAACATTAGCGAACAGTTTTTTTTTTTTTTATAAAGAAACTGTTTATATTTTATTTTTAAACAAGTAATAAATAATCCAGCAATTGACCCGGCGCCAGGTACAAACTGTCTGAAGTTAAGCAAATCACAAACTTCAATAGTTCAAATTAATATTTATTGTATCAAAAAATACAATTTTGGCACATGGCCTGAAATGGGGAGGGGTTGAGGCTGGTCGGCACTATCCTACACCTAGCTAATCCGATTCACGACTCATTCACTCATTACAATTTCCACATTCACCACAAAATCCTCCATACACCACAATACTGCATTCTCTCAAGGGGGAACCCACAAAACGCACCTGAACTCAATAGTTCAAATTTGGCTTGAAAAAAGAAAATCAAATTTTAAAGAATTTAGATATCAAAAGAAAACCAGAGTTAAAATTTTTTTTTTAGGTAGCATCAATGTTTTATTGAAGTTGTAGTGTGTTCTAAAAAAAAAAACAAAAAACAAAACAAACTGTCGTCTGAAGTTATTAGGCAAAACAATTTTACGTAGGTACCTCCACGAAATCGCTAAAAAAAAGAGCATAACTTGATGAAAAAGACGCCAACCTTGCCGAAAACAAAATTTTATTGTCTAAATGCTTGTTATTATTTAGAGGAAAGACCAAAGTTTTTTAATTATTTTTAAAAAATTTTCCTTTTTAGAAAATTCTAAATTTTGATTAAAAAAAACCTTGTTTCTATTATTTGTATCAGCGGAACTAGTAAATAACATAGACAATTTTTAGCACGTTTTTTTGGTATGACACACATTAATTTGAAAAATCGTGCAAAAATAGAAATAATTATCGGATGTTAATGAAACTTTCAGGAACTATTCACAGATGATCGAAATTATTATAAATATGTTTTTTTTTATGAAAGTCATGGTAGAAATATTTTTTAAAAATATTACCCCCCATAACTAATTTTATGAAAACGCTAGAAATTCGATTGCATCGGTTTTAGTGATTACAATAATTAAAAGCACAGGGCTTTGAGGAATGCAAATCATGTTTTTTTTTTTGTTTTTAATTGGATACCCAGTACCTGAAAATCAGCTCTGAATTGTAACATACAAAACTCAATAAAACAAAGATATTATTTAATTTCAAATGCTTTTATTTGCTTTTAGTTGTTTTTATGAATATGGACAATATTTTCTGAAAGCAAAAAAATTTTTTCGATGAAAAATGAATTTTTAATACAATTATTTGTTATTTCATTAATTATAATACATTTTACATTTAAGTTGTTAAAATATTATAAAATTAGTTAAAAGCCGCAGAGGCTTTCATAAGTGTCCTTATGAGATAGATCTTTTTTTTAGTGCGTTGTAAATTGTATCATTTTGACTAATCAGAAGATCCCCAGTAATTAAGAAATGTAATCTTGTGCTTATAATCGAGCTGTAATTATAAAATACGGAAGACCAAGCAGAATATAATTAAGTTGTGTTATTTGAGTTAACCATTGTTCTCCGCTGTTAAGGCCTTTACTTTTACGAAACACGTGTGGAGAAGTTAATTTGATTTTTCAATTTCAACTGAGAAGGTTACCTACAAGTATCAGTATCATCTTATGAAATTTATATGATCTTATTTTTATATTAATCTGTTACATTTTTCCATAAATGAAATATCAAAATTAATAATAAAATGAATACAAATAACAGTAGAATGTAATAAATGTACATAAAATTATAGTATTTTATGTACAATTCTGATAAAATTTCATAAGATACCTTTCTTAAGAAATATGAAATTTAATGTCACTCTTAACAGTTTTATTTTAATTTCTTTAGAATATATTTCCCATAAAGCATCATAAACGTAAAGGTGAAAGCTAAGTACAAAAAAAAAAAATTAGACCGCTGAAAGTTTTCGTTAAAAATAACTGGGTAAATAATTTGTTCACGTAAATGTAAATTATTTCACTTTTCTCCTTCCGTAGAACAAATTAGCCTCATGGAATTCGTAAATATATCATTCATCACATGTCAAGAGACGCGAAAGTTTGACCTGCTTTGTTTTATTTTCAAATTACATCTTTTTGGCACAAAAGCTAAGCTAAGCTAAGTTTGGTTCAAAATATTTTAAATAAACATTATAATTTCTGATTTTCTTAAAATAAGTTTTGAAAAATGATAATTGATATTTAAAAAATTTCAAAAGTCAGATTTCCATTATTTTAAAATGGAAAAAAAATGGTCAATTTTGCTGACTCAAAAAAACTAGATTTTTAACGAAAATTTCGGACGTGCTAGGAACGATTAAAAATGGAAAAAAAATACCCCAAAGATAATTTGACCTTTCCTCTTAATGAATAACAAACATTTAGACGATAAAATTTTGTTTTCGTCAAGTTTGGCGTCTTTTTCATCATGCTATGCTCTTTTTTTAGCGATCTCGTGGAGGTACCTAATTTTACGTCAATAAAAAGTAAAAATGATCAAAAATTTATCAACACCTATAATAGAACAAATAAATACAGGACTTTGAATCCTTTACATCTTCATATATTGAATCCTCTTAATAACAGCCGGTAATCTATTATCCATTGAATTTTTTTTTAAACTTCATCAGGTCCAATTTCTGACATTATAGTCTTAATTGCTTCCCATAAGTCTGCCCGAGGCAAATCTGAACATAACGAGTCGTGTGTAGTGACCAACGGACGAGCGGAGCACATCATCACAGAGGATGACCGAATGAGTTGGTTTTTATGAGGGCATGGGGTGTTAAGGAGAGCATAATATGTAGGAAAGATAACTGTTAACCTTAAACAGGTTAAGAGTGTAGTGACAGGGGAAGCATCCTCTAGGGAGTCTGTTCCACAAAGTAACAATTCTTGGAAAGGAGCTGTTCGTAATGCAATACGAAGCGAATAGCGATGATTCGTCCCATAGTAGCAAGGGGGTTGGAATTTTTCGTCTGCAGAGAGAGGGATTTTAGAGTGGAAAATAACCCATCACCCACAAGGTTGCGTAGACGCTCTTGAACTCTATGAAAACCAGGAAGTGAGGACTGGGCCGCTCCAACAGTACTCTAATTCCGGTTCTGATATGGTTCTTGTAAATATAGAGTATGGCAGAGGTCACCTCCAGGCGGTTTAATGATTAGAAGCTTGTCTCGCTAGAACAATTACGACTGGGTAGTGAGTTCGATCCTCACTGGGTGGCCCCTACTTTCGGTCTTGTGCCACATTTAAGCTACGCTCGGAAAATCACTATAAAGCATGACAGGAGTTAGGTACTTACAGGAGCAGAACAAAGAAGTGGCCATTATAATAATTATTAAAATGCTTGATTCATACTAACCCCAAATCACTGGCAAGGTGCTTTAAATGGTTGTCACAAGCTCCCGGGTCATCTTTCATCATTTGTCGTAAAACTTCGTCATACATCTCGGCGGAAATCTGAAAAAAAAAATTGAGTTAAATCTCATTACAACAGATGTTCATATAGTTTAACTGAAATTTGTTTTTAAATTGACTGACTAGTTTATAAGTTTCAAATGTTTTAATTTGAGGAATAAACACTTTGGCCAAATAAGATGAAAATTTGTCTTACTTCAAACATCGAAGTGTTGCTGTCTATCATATCTTTCACAACTTCGATAACCTCTTTTCGTTCTTCTGCTCTCGCTGTGCTTTCAACCAGGTATTCGCGCTCTCCAGACGACTTGGCCTTGTGTAAAATATTTGGCCCGAACAACGTTGCCAAATTTGACGAACCCATTTTATTTCCTGGAAGCTGAAAAGTATTAAAGTAGCAAAATTTATTTTTGTTTGATCTAATGATTGTCATTACAAATAAGCCAAGGTTGTAATTTGAATTATCAATAACTACGTACTCTATCGATAGCCACAATATATTTAGTTAAACTGTTGAACAAACTGAACACCTTAACACATAGCAAAAAGGTAATATTTTGCTGGATCCCAAGCCATATTGGAATCCAGGGAAATGAGAGAGCCGATTCCTTAGCCAAAGCTGCTCTCAACATGACACCCGACCAAAACATCAAAATCCCATACACTGACCTAAAACATAAAATCAAGAGAACAATAAGACTAAAATGGCAACAACTATGGAACAAAAATACCAACAATAAACTATCAAATAGCACCAATTCTAAAGGAAAGGCAACTGAATCTTAAAACAAATGAACAAACCACCATTGGCCGACTACGCATTTGGACACACAAGACTGACTCGCTCTTTCGTACTAAAACAAGAACCTCCTCCTAAATGTTCATGTGGAAAACAATACACTGTAAAACATATACTAATAGAATGTACAAACCTCACACACATCCGTAGAAATTTCTATAACACTAAGAACATGAAATTATTTACAAAAACTGAAACAAAAAATATATTGGATTTTCTAAAAAGAATTGCTCTTATCAAAGATATAGACTGATGGATAAACAACATATCCTACCTTTTATCATTTTGCAAATAAATTGTCCTTATCAAATTTGACTTAAACAAAAATACCTAGGATTATTTTGCAGTGTGCAAGCAAATAAGCTCTAGCTTGCTAAAAATGTTCCATACAAAATAGGCATTTAAAATTTGGCATATATATATATATATATATATATATAGATACATATAACTGGATTTGGCATTAAATAACCCACAGTGGTTGATATGCCATAAAACCCCAAACAAACAATATATTTATTGTAATTTAAAGACTTTACTGAACGTCAATGGGTAAGCTAACATGTGAGGATCGAACTGGCTTTGCGTCCTGGGTAAGACGATACTGTTCAACAAGGCCTCTGATCAGGAGGTTTTGAGGAGCGTGGAACCACCTCTTAATTGCTGGTGTTTCCAGGTCCACCATGGCTCGTGGTGTTAGCAGCTATTAGGCTCCCAACTATGGGCAAATAGTTAACTTCCCAAATTGGGGTCAAAACACTATAATACCAGAAATACTTTGTAAAAATCTTTTTAACAGCAATAGATTTTTGACAAACAAAATATATTACCAGCAATAAAAATTGTCGGCATTAAATAACTCATTGAGGTTGATATGCCGTAAAACAAACCAAACTAGAAATTAAATATTTAAAGCACTCTAATATTTTATTGAATTTTAGATGCTTTGGCTTTAGTCTTAAGAAGACACTTGTTGAGCAAATGTTAAATTATGAATGAATTTTAAATTTTACTATAGTTACCGCTCTTATTTTCTGATGTTGTGTATAGGCGTCCGTATTTACAAAAATCGGCACGCTCGCTCACTTACATTCACTTAAAAATATTGGGATCACTGTAAGCTTTCATTTGACTTGTACATTGTTTTTATTTAATAACAATATCACTTGACCGCTATAAATTAAGATTTCAAAGTATAATTTATTCTAAGTGAAATTTAAGCAAAACTTTTAAATTCAATATTTACTGAAAAAAAATTTCGTAACACAATAGTGTCTATAACATAAAAAGTAACCAAAAGTTAAGTAAATTTTGGTTTTATTGTATTGTTTTACAATACAGAGCATATTTTCTCTACTTGGTTTTCCTGTTTGACGAAAAGAAAAAGACTTGTCCTTATAGCTAAGATAATCATGAATCGCTACACATAAGAACTTCTCAATTTCATAAAATTAAAAAAAAAAAAATTCAATTTATTTCGAAATAATTCCTCAGTTTCATTAAAATCCGACAATTATCTGATTTCCAAATCAATGTTTTTTTTCATCGCAGACAAACGTCTAAATTTTCCATACAATGACAATTTTTTTTTTTTTTTTTTTTTTTTTAAATCGCGAATGTTCTAGAAGATTTTAAAAAAATCTTCTGATCTTAAAATGAAAGTTTGATCTTCAAAATCTTTAAGTTTTGGGTTTATTTATTTATTTATTTTTTTTAGTATGCTCATTTTTAGCAAATATTTCAAGATGGCTACGTGAAAATATTTCCAAGTCGATATAGTTTGCTCCCATATTTCCGCAATGTATTTAAAGTAGAGTCGCCTCCCTTGCAAGACAAGGGAGGTAACTTTACATTAACCATATTCCTTTCTCAAAGTCGGTTTTTAGTCTTAGCAAATTTCGGTATTTAACTCTTAAATCGGTATGATTCTCCCCCAACCGTCTCCTCAAATTATTACGTCAAATTTGACGTAATCATGTACAGTCAACTGTTTTTTTGTAAGTTCCATGTTGTATATCTTCAAACAAAAGCCCACATGTTACACGGTTCTAGCCCTCGATAATTGCGTAACTTTTTTTTTTTTTTTTTTTTTTTTTTTTTTAAGCCTTTTAAAAGCAATTACCATAAAAAGCATAGGTAGTAACTTTAAATTTTTTTAAAGGGAACTAAAAGTGCATTTTTGCTTAAAATGCAATGACAGCTTAAGTCTTGTAAGTTCGGTATGTTTTTTGTTTCATCCGCGTTTTTTCTTATGATAGTGGTAGCTGTATTTTTGTCAGTGTTTGATTTTTCGGAACTTAGCCATGGGTTCCAAATAAAAATATAATCTCTAAAATCCAGAATCTATTAGATATGTGGTACGCACTGCTGGAGTGGACAAAAACTGGTAGCTTAATTTTCTCTTGTTTTTAAAAAGGAAAATTCTTATTTATGGTTACTACCTTTTGCTTTTTGAGTAATTAAAAGGTACTTGTGTACAAATTTCTATATTAAACAACACTTTAAAGAAATATTAACTTCAAAAAATTATCAGGAGATACGCAATTATCCAGGGACACATTTGTCTACGTACGCAATTGTCCCTCCATGTTATACAAAGGTTTTGATTTTGTTTTTTAGAGTGCAAGTCTTCTTTGCATTACAAGAGTTCACTTCGAAATTCCATGAAGGTTACTTGAATCGACAGACTCCTGAAGAAAGCCGAATGGCACAAAAGTTGAAACATTGGGGGTTCGTAGCAAATCTAACTAAATGCGCGTTATATTCAGTACTGGATTATAAAGTCCCCCCTTTTTTTTTTTTTTTTCATCTCTATGTAGAGTAGAAATGAAAGATCTCATTACATAATGGGACTTCTTCAGGCGAACGCAAATTATCTCCTCCGGTATTATATAAACAGCTGAGTGACCAGAGGTCAAGTGTATTTTTGTATTCGTATCTAGTTTCATACCAGAATAAAGTAATTAAGAATTACTACCATCATTGAAATATACTTGGAAAAAAAAAAAAGTCCAACTTACCTGTTCTCCGTTTTCACCGATGGAATCTGTGGAATGTTCTGCGACCTTTTTTAAGAATTTCATTAGTGCCCATAAAGTGTCCCTAATTGGAACGGGTAGGAGAGCAACTAACAATTTGACAGCAAGTGCTTGTTGTTCGTGACAATGGATTTCTAGAAAGAAAACAAATGAAGATTTCACAGTAAACAAGAACTGAAGATTCTGTTGTAGGAAGAAAAAAAGGACATATTTGAATATTTTTGATTCAATATAGTCAACACTGAAGTCATTGCATTATTTAATAAATTAACAGGACTTAAATTTAGGTTTCTTCATGTCTGTTAAATATTTAGCTGTTATCTGCTGTATAATCGGGCCAAGACGATAAACTACGTCCAACAGTATGGCTTATGATCAGGAGGTTTTGAGGGGGCGTGGAATCACCTCTTAATTGCTGGTGTTCCCAGGTCCACCCCTGACCCAGGGTGGTAGCACCTGTTAGGGTCCCAGCTATGGGGAAAATAGTTAACCTACAAACAATACCAGAAATACATATTTGAAGGAAAAATATTACTAGCAATACATTTTTGAAAAAATTGATTACGATCAATAAAAATTGCGAGTATTAAATAACCCATTGAAGTTGATATGCCGTAAACCAAACCAATCAACCAGTATGCTAAGTATGTGAAACGGCATACACTATTATATATTAACTGGGTGTTCAGACCTTTTTCTCTCAAGACAAATATGTTATAATATAAACATGTGAGATCGAGAAAACAGTGGATGACATAATATCATTTCTTAAACCAAATGGGTGGGAATGTGAATAAAATCAATTTCTCCACAAACTTTATATCTGAAAAGAATATAACAATGAAACCTGACTCTCGACAAAAACCCTCTTTACAAAAATACACTAATGAATCCTGATCTTTTACAAAGTATACATATTCTATTCATAAGGCGTCCTGGGTATGACGATAAACTACGTCCAACAGCAAGGCCTCTGATCAGGAGGTATTGAGGAGCGTGGCACCACCTCTTAATTGCTGATATTCCCAGGTCCACCCTGACTCCGGGTGGTAGCATCTGTTAGGGTCCCAGCTAAAGGCAAATAATTGACCCACACACTGGGGTCAAAACGCTATGAAAGGGTAAAAATAGGTTTTAATACCAGAAATACTTTGTAAAAAAAAAAAAAAAATTGCCAGCTATTTTTTTTTTTTTTTTTTTCCAAAAAATTACCATCAATACATTTACATTTAACATATTACATTAAATAACCCATTGAGTTTGATATGCCGTAAAACAAACCAACACATATAACACATACATCAGATCATGTACATACTATATAGCCACGAAACCTCTGAGATTGATATATACGCTAAGTTAACGAACTGACGTCCCCTCCCACACTTAACCCTCCGTTAGTCACCTCGGATGTCCGAAAATGGATAGTCCCCTGAAATCTTTACACATCCAATACAAAAATGTTTATACTGTTGCTTATGTTAAATATTTTCATACTGATGGAAAATTCCGTCCTGAGTATGACGATAAACTACGCCCAACAGCAAGGAAATGAAACCACCTCTTAATTGCGGGTGTTCCCCGGTCCACCCTGACCCGAGGTGGTAGCACCTGTTAGTCCCAGTTAACCCCCAAAACTGAGATAAAAAGCATTATGAAAGTGTAAAAATGTTTTAATATCAAATACTTTTAAAAAAAATTATTACCAGAAATTTTTCAAGGAAAAAAAAAAAAAAAAATTACCAGCAATAAATTTTTAAAAATATTACCAGAAATAGATTGACAAAACAAAATTACCAGGAAAAAAGTGGTTGGCATTAAAAAACACAACTTTTACGAAAATAAAACCATCCAATATTCCAAATTTTCTAAAATAATTTGGATTGTACTCAAAAATGAGTAATTGAAAAATGGTTCAAATATGTATACATACACTTGTTGTTTTTTTTTTTTTTTTTTAAACCAAACTATCGCTATGAATCTTTCATAACTAATCTAATAACCCATTGAGGTTGATATGACACAAAACAACCAACCAGCAATACATTTTTGAAAAAAATATTACCAGCAATAAAATTTTTCGGTATTAAATAATCCAATGAGGTTCATATGACGTAAACCAAAACCTATTACACATACATCAGATCATGTAGATACTATATAGCTACAAAAACCCTAAAGAGATTGATATTCCTCTAAAGAAAATTAACCAACTTACGGTCCCTCCACTGTACCCTGCGTTAGTCACCTGGGATGTCCGAAAATGAATAGTCCCCCTGAAGGGTTTACACACCTCAATACAAAAACCCTAATAGTGTTACAATTATAAAATATTATCATATTGATGAAAAAAAAAAAAAAAATCAAGGGAGTAGTCGGAGGAAACAAAAGAAAAAAAAAGTTGCCAACTAGGAATTATTTTCCTGTAACCAAACACCCCACGTGACTAATGCTGATTTAAACACCATTGAACATTCCCTCTACTTGCATAGTATGACCCGTAACTGAAGGAGAACGGCATTCGCTTAGTGAATTTTTCTCTCTAACGAAGACCTCCCGCGTCTGTGTTTTGGACTATGGACACCTGTCACATATTTAAAACTTTATTTAATATAAAGGACAATTTCACTTAACTTACTTCTTGTAGCAACAAATGGTGAGTAGAGATCTCTTGTTAATAGCGGTTCTGGAAGGTCTCGGAAATATTCCTTAAGCAAGGCACCAACTTCGTGAGGATTCTGTGTCTCGTCTAGAACAACGTCTTTGCCACTATCAAACTCATCGCGTAGCTGAAACAAGAGTTTTATATGTGCAAAATCAAATTTGAATTTAATACTTCATGAAACTGTCCTTATTTTGAATGTTACTCATTCAGAAATCCTTTCAATTTTTTTGAATAGTTCTGAATTTTTATTTTGCACTTAGCACTTATAAGAACTCATTGTCTATAAAATTAACTAAGATGTTTTTAAAATACGTATTCAGTTATGCTTAGAAATATGTTGCAGTTTAAGCAAAATAACTTGCCAGTTCAATTTCATATAAATACAAGATTTGAACGTTCATTTGTGTATCTGATTAATTTTCAGGAAACTTATCCGTAAAAAAAAACGGCATGTTAAAAGGATATTTCTTTTCTCTGTATACTTTTTGGCAATTGTTATCGTTTTAAAAAGCTATTTTAATAAGACTCCAACACATGAAACTGAATTTCTACATTCTCTCTAACTCAACAAGGTCTCTGATCGAGATATTGAAAGTGTTGAGGAGCGTGGAACCATCTCTTAATTGCTGTTGTTCCCAGGTCCACCCTAACCTGGGGTGGTAGCACCCGTTGGGTGTCCCAGCTATGGGTAAATAATTTACTCCCAAAACTGGGGTCAAAACACTATGAAAATATAAAGATTTTTATAGTAAAAATGAGATATATATATATATATATATATATATATATATATATATATATATATATATATATATATATATATGTATTTTTGTAAAATAAATTACTAACGCTTCCAAGAAAATTAAATTTCGGCATTAAATGACCCATAAAGAGTTGATATGCCCCTAAGCAAAAAAAACCAATCCATGCTAAAAAATCATGTCGATTAAATAACTCATTAACGTTGGTATGCCGTAAAACGTACCCTAAACAATTGCTCTCCACCTATTTTGTGGAGAGCAAATGAAAGCTGCTCGGAAAATGCAGTTTCCAACATTTGAGTTATTCGTCATTGCGTTTATTTAAACGTTCTTGTTTCCAGACATTTTTATACCGTCCTGGGTAAGGAAGGCCTCTGATTAGGTTTTGAGGAGCCTGGAACCACCTGTTAATTCCTGGTGTTCCCAGGCCCACTCTGACCCGGGGTGGTAGCACCTGTTAGGGTCCCAACTATAGTAAAATAGTTGTTCCTCAAACTAGGGACAAAAATAGGTTTTAATACCGGCATAAATTTTCTGAGGAAAAATATTACCAGAAATACATTTCTGAAAAGAAAAATATTACTAACAAGAAAAATCTTGTCCGCATTATATAAATCATTGAGGTTGATATGCCGTAAAACAAACCAATCCAAACCATTTTTATGAATTTATTAATAAAAAATATTTTCATTTCTTTGTAATTTGGTAAATCAAGATTCCGTTGTAGTTGGTTCACATATTTCTATAATCTTGAAAATATGACATTATATCGTAAAAACTAATGAATAGGTAATGTTTAATAACTTAATTTTTGAGAAAAAATAGCGTTTTAAAGAATTAAAATGGCCGCGGTTGTCTACAGTAATGGCGGTGTTAAAAGAAAAACCGTCCTTTTAACGCACCATCTTGTTGCAGGCACGTTTGTTAAACTTTGCCCTTTTTCATCTTGCTATCTGTGTTTCCCACCTTAAGGACTTACCTGTTTCACTCGCTTTTTTGAACAGCCGACTCTGAAGATGCCTAAAACATGAAGACCTGGGGGAAGAGAAGAATTTTGGAGGTTATTTTTTCCTACATGTCCAAATTTACAATCTTCATTTACATAATCAACCAATAAGCCGAGCATGTGAATTAAACATACCGGGTTTAACAGCAAAATTGTCCTAATCGCGTAAAAGCAAATTTCTCAATTTGTTAGATTAAACTTTGAACTAATCTTACAAATGATTAAAAATATATTACTGGAATAAGAATGTATAAATACTCTGTAAGCTTTACAGAAGAATCGTGATTAAATCGATCATAAACGAAAATGATATGTTCATCATTGATTAATCGAAAGCTCAGGAAGGATTGGAATTAAGTTTAAATGTGATTTCAGGATCATTTTCCAACTTATTCAAGATAATCTTCTCCCACTCTAACCTAACTTTCTGTCCTGAAGTAGCAAGGTGCATTCACAGATTTCAAGGACTTTCATTTTAGTCTTTTTTCTTTTTTTTTCCGTTGCCCTTTGGACTATCATAGCTGAAACTCCTCTCTCACGTGCCAAACGTCTTATGGATTGAATTCGATCTTTTCTAGTTCTAAGTTGAAATGATGATCCCTCTTGCTGTTGTGACCTGATCCAGTTTTCCTCTCCGTTCCCTCATTTTTAAACTTATCCACCGTTCTCTTGACGATTCTTGAATGTTCTTTGAAGATGGAAGGCCTCAATGATCTTCTTCCTCTCACAATTGCTCATTTGCGAAAACAGTGGAGCTGACAAAAACAATTTTAACCTGTTCTCCTTCTAGATAAAAAAAACTGTTTTTCAGTGATTTTTTTTTTTTTTTTTTTTTACAAATGATGTCAAGATTGCTAAACGTCTTATCTGAAAACCTGGAAAAAGAAACTCAATTATGTTAGCGCTTATTTTTTTTTTTTTTTTTATTAGATATTGAACATTTTGCGGATCGTCCTGGGTAAGACGACAAATTACGTCCAACAGAAGGCCTCTGATCAGGAGGTTTTGAGGAGCATGGAACCACCTCTTAATTGCTGGTGTTCTCAGGTCCACCCTGACCCGGGGTGGTAGCACCTGTCAGGGTGTACTACTAGCAATACCTTTTTGGAATTATTATTACCAGCAATAAAAATCTTATCGGTATTAAAATAACCCATTGACGTTGATATGCCGTAAACCAAACCAAACCTAAGAACGAAAACTACCCGTACAGCATTTAACTAAAATTCATTTAGCAAAGGACATCGCTCGAGCACCGGGTATTGTAGGCTACTTCCTGCAATCGAAATCTGTTTCGCCTCTAAATAATCCAAAAAAAAAAAAAAAAAACTTAGTCGAGCACTAACATGAGATAATTCTTGCCAAAGATCTCAGACTGGTGTGTTACATGCAAATAAAATGAATACTCAAAACCGAGACTTGGAGTGACCCCCTGATCGCCATTTTTCCATCGATCCTGGGCAACTTCTCTCATGATCACATGGCAGAGGTCTGGAGGTTCTCTCATCCATCTCTGGCCCGGAAATCTTTGGTTTAACATTTTCATATATAATCTACAACTTACCTCGTACATTTAACGTTCCTACTAATCCAGAAGTCGCCAGTCTAGGATCATTAAAGACCGTTTACGGCCATATCGCGTTGAAACACCGATTTTCATACGATTAACAAATTTAAGCAACGTTGAACCTGGCCAGTACCGGTATGAGTGACAGTTTGGGAATACCAGGTGTTGTAAGCTTGGATGTGCGGGTATTGGACAGCCGAGTTAGAATTCCAGTGGAATTCATTATATTCACTTACAGGCAAATAGCCAGCTATGGGTTGTATATCCGGACAGATTGGGTCATATAGCTTTGGGGAGAGGGAGATAGTATATCCCTGAAAGTAATGGCAGCCTACTGTGGGAATTCTTCTGCAAAGTCAATTATGAATCGAACAGATCATGGCACCGAGGGAAAGATAAAACAAATATGTAAACAAAGAATCATCTACATATAAATGCGTAAGTTATGGTGATAAGGTCATCCTTGGTAAGACTATAAACAACATCCAACAGCAAGGCCTCTGATTAGGAGGTTTTGAGGAGCCTGAAACCACCTCTTAATTCCTGGTGTTCCCAGGTCCACCCTGGCCCGATGTGGTAGCACCTATTAGGGTCCCAACTATGGGTAAATAGCTAGCCCCCAAACTGGGGTCAAAACACTATGAAAGTAAAAATAGGTTTTAATACCAGATATACTTTGTAAACAATTATCAACAATAAATTTTTGAAGAAAATATTACCAGCAATACAGTTTTGAAGGAAAAAAAACTTATTACCAGAAAGATTTTTAACAAAACAAAATATTACCAACAATAAAAATGTTGCCGGCATTAAATAAACCATTGAGGTTGATATGCCGTAAACCAAACCAAATCATTAAGCATTTTAAATCAATGAAGCGAGACTATTGATAAAAAAAATCCTATCTACACAAATAAAACTCGGAAACCAGATATGTAGAGTATAAATATTGCCTGAAATTCTTTATTGAAGGAAAGGATAGTACCAGCAATCTAATTGTCTCTTGATAGAAGCCTTCTTTGCAAAAGTGTTAATGAAACTTTATTTACAAAGTGATTTTGTTACAAGGAATATTTTTTATTCATATATATGAATTTAAATAAAAAAACCTTTGTGGTTGATATGCCACAAACCGAGACAGGAACACAACCACGTCGAAGAGACATTAGATCAGGTTTCGGGAATGACCGAAGTTCTCCGCCTGAGCAAGCTGGCATTGACAGATAGTAAATCGTAACTTTGCTTCCTTTGTGCACCTAACTGTCATCATTATCGGACGACGCCGGAAAGTCACTCCCAGACACTGGGAAACACCCAGTACGTCGGATCAGTATATTGCCCTTTCGAATGCCCTTTAATTGCTACCTATTGAAAGCAGCCGTAACTGGAAATTTGGTGACTGAAGTTGTTTAAATATGACCAGCTTTTGTTGTAGTTGAAGTGGTCCTTGATGGTCTTTCGATCAAAGAATCCAACCGGGTTTGTTGCGGTGTTACATCCTTCCTAATTGCAAAGCTCTCTAACCAAAGATGCAGATGTGAGTTATCCTGTAATTGTAACTCCACCCACACGTAATGTTTACAGTGATGAATACACTTCCTGTTTTTACTGTCTATAATTGTATACAATACTTTTCTTTGTTATTCAACTACAGGTCACTGTGGTTAAACTACGCTACAAGGAGATCTATTTCTTGCATCTCTGCTCACAGTATTAGAATATCCAATTTCATTAACTTCATATTCAGGAATCACTAAGCAGACATTGGGTTTTGCTGCTTGATTCTTCTATATTTAAGAGTGTACGAGCTTATAGGCTCTCTCGTCCTGGGTAAGACGATAAACTACGTCCAACAACAAGGTCTCTGATCGGAGGTTTTGAGTAGCGTAGAACCACTTAATTGCTGGTGTTCCCAGGTTCACCCTGACTTGGTGTGGTAGCACCTGTTAGGGTCCCAGCGATGGGGAAATAGTTAACCCCCAACCTGACTCAAAACACCGTGAAAGTGTAAAAATAGGTTTTAATACCAGAAAAAAATTACTACCAGCAACAAATTGTTTTTTTAAAAAAAACAATTACAGCAATAAAAATCTTGTCGGCATTAAATAACACATTGAGGTTAATATGCCACAAAACAAACCACACTATATATTTTTGAAAAAAAAATTATCAGCTCTACATTTTTTTTTTTTTTTTTTTTTTTTTTTGAAAAAAATTATTACCAGCAATAAAAATTGTTGGCATTAAATAACTCATTGTGGTTCATAAGCCGTAAACTTTTTAGCTATTAGGGTCGAAGATCTCTATACTTGTAGAATAATAAACAGTCAATCACCGCCCAAGCAATGGACTATCTCACTTTAGCACAATGAGATGCTCCATTGCACCATAAATAGCTCTCTTTCTAAAGGTTGGATTCACTTAGCTTGCTCCACAACTGAGTGTTTATCTCTACCACGTTATTTTTCTACAGATACTATTCTGTGAACTCTTGGAATCTGTAAGCTTGGCACATTTTCGAAGATGGGTTCCTACACTGAGAAAGTTGCTTTTGGAGATGTTTGACATAACCAAATTTCTATTATATGATAGTAAGGTTAGGTAATATTTAAATTTTCGAATATAACATTAAGTTTCTTTTGTGAATGTGTGTGTGACAAGCGTAACAGTTATTGGCACAAGACGATTTATTTTTTTTTTTTATGGCTTAACTCTTTGTGGATTATTTAAATACGAAACATTGGTTCTCCACTTGCCTTCCGTGCGGTTTTCAGTTCCTCCTTGAGTGGCTGCCAAACAGTCTACCCTCCTATTTAATCCATAGCGTTTAATCCATGGTCGTTTGGTTGATTTTTTTTTTTTTTTTTTTTTTTTAGTAGTATATCAAACCCTAGGAAGAAATGGATTCATGCTTTCGCATGGCATGAGTGAAAGTGAATGCAACAGAAGGCTGAAATTTGAATTCTGCTCAACGATCTATTTTATGTGCCATTCCGAATTATGTAAATAGTGTAAATAATTACAATACTGCATCTCAGAAATAGATATTTGTGGAATTAGCAGTATATGTTGAAAAGGATAAAGTGTTATAGTTACCATAGGTCTCAATATGTTTGAAACAAGCGGTTACTATCTGTGGTACCATTGGTCCTTCACTGTTTAAGTGTTCCAGGTTATCGTTGTGAAGACTGTCTCGACCTGTCATCGATAAGGAGAGTGCATCAATCAAGTTGGTGCTGCCACCTGTATGTCGACTGCTTGCATCGGATTCTGACAAAGAGTCACTGCTTCCGGCATGGAACTGTTTAAAAATAAAGTAAAGAAAATGAATTGTACAACAATTAAAAACAAAATCCTGAAGTTTTTCTTATTTCAAGTTTTGCAGGCACTCTGCGATGAATATGAATGGAACGTTTTATATTCCAAACTGCTCCACTTGGGGTGAAGAGAAGTAATTAAGGTTCGGTTGAGACTCGTTGGAAATAACACACATACACACAAACATTTTACCAAGGTGAAAATATATAGAAAGTGCTTTAATCGCTAGATCACCACAGTAAATTTACGTCTAAGTTCTTGCATTTGACCTTTCTTGGCAGATCTTCTATTATACCAATGTGGGATATTAAATAATAAAACAATGATGGAAACATGAACAAAAAGAAACTAAATGAAATACATAGATTAAAAAAATTAAAACTCAGCGTTCCCTCTTTCCTGCGCATGTGTAGTCGCATCAACGTAAACACCGCTTTGGCCTGAGAGGGTTCTGAGTGATGTCACGCGAAGACTTTATCCAAATTTGTAACTTTTGCTTTTCCTCTGAAATATACACACACACACACACAGCTGTTTTAACAGTTTCTTTTATATCGCTTCTCGCTTGTAGAACTCTCTTCTGGCTTCTTGCTTCCCAGGTGAACTGGGTATGACGATAAACTACATCCGACAACAAGGCGTCTGACAAGAGGTTTTGTGGAACCATCTCTTCATTGTTTTTGCTCCTAGGTTAACCCTGACCCGGTGTAGTAGCACCTGTTTGGGTCCCAGCTATGGGCAAATAGTGACTCCCGCCAAACAAATCAAACAGTACATTTTTGCAATAAAATGAGCAACAATAGATTTTTTTAATATCAAAATGATAATCAATGCAACACTTAAATATAAAATACATTTTATTGTAGAATTACCAGCAATACCGGTTATGATCTATAAATTAGATAACTAAAAAAAAAAAAAAACTTCTCCCGAAAGTGTAAAATTGTTAAAGAAAAAAATTCGGCATTAAATAATACGTGAGGTCGATATTCCGCTAAACAGTCAACCAACCAACATCTTAGTGTCTAAATTGCCTTGCTTGTAGGGAAATGATTAGAAAAAAAAATGTAATTTTTATTGTAGTATTTACTACATCGTCGACGGCTCCCAGTCGTGTCCGAGTATCGGGTTCTGTCAATCATTTAAGTCCATCTTCACGGTTGATGTTTGTTTGACATGACTTGCGAGGCCGAGTCGGTGGTGGAATAGTCGCGGGGAGGTGAGGACGGGGTCGTTCACAGCGCTCTCTTCTCTTCTCCTTCGTCGCCTTGCCTCTTCATTCTCCCTCCTCCTTTCCTCGAAGTCCGCGATGTCACCGCGTATTGATCTCCCACGAGGACGAGCTGATGTTGGTAAATGTCAGGGTTTGGGTGGTCATCGTGATCTGGTCCCAATGGCCAGCTCGCCATAAGAAACGAGGTAAAAATGCTAGAACGCTCCCAGCAACTGAAACAAGGCAAATCCTTAACATCTCTTGGGAGAGCTACACCACCAACACAGAAGTGCTGGACAGAGCCTCAGTGAGCGGCGTCGAGGCCACCATCATCTACCACCGCCTCCGCTGGGCAAGACACGTCCACAGGATGCATCCTTCCAGGCTCCCAAAGAAAATCCTATATGGCGAGCTGGCCATTGGGACCAGACCACGAGGAGCACCCAAAATGCGCTACAAGGACCAACTAAAGCGCACCCTGACACTTACCAACATCATTTACTACATATATCTGGTCAATATATTGAGTGATTGTGAAGAGATGCAAAAGGCAATTTTCTCTCTTTGTGCAAGAATTCACGAGATGGCTGATGAGTGACGTCAGTTCGTTGGGTGACAAATCTCTCTAGCGATTTAGACCGCTCGAAAGATAGACTTCATAAGCCCGTAGCGGCAGCTCGAACAAATGGAAACAAGGAACAGCGGACACCACAGGCCTAGTCATTTTCCCTTCAAGAATTATTACAAGACTCTCTCGATTTTCGTCCATGTCATTATTTGTCTCCTCCAGTTATATACCCGTCCTGGGTATGACGATAAACTATGTCCAACAGCAAGGCGGTTTGTTCCCAGGTTCATCTTGACACGCGGTGGTAGCATCTGTTAGTGTCCCAGCTATGGGCAAGTAGTTAACTCCCAAATTGGGGTCAAAACACTATGAAAGTGTAAAAAATAGTTTTTAATACCAGCAATAAATTCTTGAAAATAATTACCACCGATACATTTTTGAAGAAAAAATATCCCCAGAAATAGATTTTTGAAGGGAAAGATATTATCAGCAATACATTTTAAAAATATTACCTGCAATAAAAATTTTCTCGGCATTAAATAATCCACTGAGGTTGATATACCGTAAAAGAAACCAAACAGCTATATACATATTTGCATATATCTTATAGGGTATAGTGGTATATAAATTCTATTTGAGAGCAATATGTGCGTGTCGTTCCCTTACTTTAACACCGATGCTTCTTTTCTTTGTGTGTACCTGTAATGGCGACTTGCAAGCTGGTAATATACATTTACTTATAAGGAGACATTCGGAAAAAAACTGGCTCGTCAGTATTATATTAAACTATAAAGCAGCCCATCATATCCACAAAGTGCGTCCCGGGTAAGACGATAAACTGCATCCAACAGCAAGGCTGCTGATCAGGAGGTTTTGAAGAGTGTGGAACCACCTCTTAATTGCTGGTGTTCACAGGCCCACCCTGACCCGGGGTGGTAGCACCTGTTAGGGTCCCAGCTATGGGCAAATAGTTAACTCCCAAATTGGGGTCAAAACACCATGAAAGTGTAAAAATAGGTTTTATTACCAGCAATAGATTTTTGAAGGAAAAATATTACCAGCAAATCTTGTCGGCATTAAAAAACCCCAAGCGAAACTATCATGATCAGCAACAAAATATGTAGCTGAAGGGATAAAACTGCGTTCAAAATATTTAGATCTCCGCATTAACTCACAGTGGTTGATATGCCGCTAAACATAATCATTCTTTTTTACGATAACACTTACCGTATATACTCGCGTATCATGCGACGTTTGAAAACCTAATTTTGAAGCTAATTTGACTACAGTAGACGAATATATAGTTTGGTCAATATCATAGCCATAGCCAGCAGTACATACGCCAATTTTATCTATTGTATGATGCTATCCACTTAAAATTAGCTTGAAAATGATGTCTTCAAAAGCCGCATGATAGGCGAGTATATGGCGCGTTCGGAGGGAGGAGGGGTGTATTCAACAAAAAATCGAAAATTGCTTTTCCACTACAAATTATTAATTATAGCATATCCGAGTATTTCACAAGAAATTAGAGCCAATTACACAAGATTTCAAGCTCAAATTAAGTTCGTAAACATGCAATGAGATGAGGTAACAAAAACCGAAGATTTTTTTGTCAAAAGCATTTTATTTTTGGTCGTATATTTATTTAAAATATTCCTTTTTACATGCTTTGTTTTTGAAATGGAATAAGATTATTCTAAATTTCAGAATTACGCTATTGCCGACCAAAACGACTGGAAGAATGCGATCTAAAAAAACAAAGCATGAACGAAATAGCGCCAGTTTGTTCAACTTAGAATACTTAGGCTGCAATGCTAATTTTGCTAAAATGTTGCCAATAACAAAGTAGAAAATGAAAAATACCTAACAAATCGATTATAGCAGTAAAATTTATACTATTTTATTTGTTATGTAACTAAATACATAATTGTCAACAATGTTTCCATAAAACTTGATATTTCTTGTAATAAATTCTTATTATTTTACTTAAGTGTAAGGCAGTCCTACATTTACAATTCATTACGGCTAACCATGAAAAGAAATGTTGATCAAAACTGCCTAAAAATTTAAGCGCGTATTGCCGCAAAATTATCAAATGTTGAATACGCCCCTCCTCCACCGAACGCGTCCTATACGGTATATAGTCTCCAGGGTGAGACTTTGACATTGAATGACTCCTCAAGGGTCAACATGTAAAAATCGACCGGCTTTGTACCGTAAAATGAGAATCTAATAATAATGGCATGATTGTTGGAAGATACGCGAAAATCAATTAACTCAATTAGGGAGTTCATTACTCGAAAGTGCCACACTGTTGCGGCCTTGTGCCAGACTATTACGTTGAGTAAAGAACCGAAATTGCATCCACAAAGCCAATGCTTCCATTATTCACACAGTAATTAGTCAAATTATCTATTTTGAATAAAGGAAGTCTTGCATCTGATTTTTTTTCTCACACGCCCGTACTTATTTGATCACTTCATAGATGATACAGTTAGAAAAATTCTCTTCCGGTAATTAACATCTACTTACAATGGTTACAGTGTTATTCCGTGTGTTGATTGTTCAGTTGTGGAGGTGCCTAGCCTCCTCTTCAGCTAACCTGTTTTGTAATAAGCCGACTAAATGTTATCTTTGTCAATATTTTCTTTTTCAGAAACCGGAACTGTTCATTCATATTTTTTTTTCCCTCCGATTGCTTGCTTTATACGGGGCTATCCGCTTCAGAATATTGACTTCGAAGTAAAATTCAACTATTTTCATGGCTGAGTGGTTTGAAAGCACGCCGGGCTATACGGTGGTTCCCCCCCCCACTAGATGACAAAGATTCAGGTTCGAATCTTGCCGAAGGGCACGTTTGACTTATAAAAGACTCTCGAAAACCCTGGCCGATTTTTTTCTTTTTTGTCTACTCAAACGCATTCATCCACCACGTTTAGTCATAAATAATGTAAAACTAAGGAAAGAATGTCAAAAGGTTGACTTGGTACCTGGAAACTAACGGCCAAATCAGTGACTACCAATGTGTTTTTAGGAAAAAAGAAGTACCATGGATAACTTAGTATGACACGAAACCTCTGTAAGAGAAGCCTTCATTAAGAAAAAACATCTCACGGCAGTATCTTTTGACTTAGAAAAGCATACGATACAGCATGGAAATTTGGTATCTTGAAAGATCTGCATGAACTAAGTCTAAAAG